CATTCAAAGAAAAGATGCCTGATAGACTCTTCACCACAACTGCGAAAATAACACCTTTAAGCCATTCTCAGCCCCTTTAATTTTGAGATATCACAAGAGGAAGCATAGAGAAGAAAAATCTCCATAGAAAGAAGGATATAGAGGGGGACATATAACCATGTCATAAAAGATTACCCCATTTTCATTTGTCAAAGTTATGCATATTATAATAAAGCATTTTAGATATAGAAGCATTTGTTATGGTTCGGGCTACCCATAACTAATTTAAACATCAATGCATTGCCTAAACGAAGGCAAGCCCAAGTGCCCAACAGAAAATAAGCCAAGCTTCATAAAACCACCACAGTTAGTCAAATTCCCCATGTCTCGAAAACAACACTTTAAAGGCTCCAAAACATATGATTCACTCTATTCACTAACAACTTGTTAGAAGCATGTTTCCAAACAGCAAGTATAACAAACCAAAACAACACTTTAAGGGCTTTCAACAACAAGTATAACTACCCCAAAATAGCCCTAAAACAATGTTTTTAATGTCTCTAAAACAGTGCTCAAAATAACCATAAAGTGATATTTTTAATCTGTAAAACACTGCATAAAACAACCCTAAAATCATGTTTTTAGGGTTTCAAAAACAACCCTAAAACAATGTTTTAAATGTCTCCAAAACAGTGCTCAAAACAGCCATAAAGTGTTGTTTTTAATCTGTAAAACACTGCATAAAACAACCCTAAAATCATGTTTTTAGGGTTTCAAAAACAACCCTAAAACAATGTTTTAAATGTCTCCAAAACAGTGCTCAAAACAGCCATAAAGTGTTGTTTTTAATCTGTAAAACACTGCATAAAACAACCCTAAAATCATGTTTTTAGGGTTTCAAAAACAACCCTAAAACAATGTTTTAAATGTCTCCAAAACAGTGCTCAAAACAGCCATAAAGTGTTGTTTTTAATCTGTAAAACACTGCATAAAACAACCCTAAAATCATGTTTTTAGGGTTTCAAAAACAACCCTAAAACAATGTTTTAAATGTCTCCAAAACAGTGCTCAAAACAGCCATAAAGTGTTGTTTTTAATCTGTAAAACACTGCATAAAACAACCCTAAAATCATGTTTTTAGGGTTTCAAAAACAACCCTAAAACAATGTTTTAAATGTCTCCAAAACAGTGCTCAAAACAGCCATAAAGTGTTGTTTTTAATCTGTAAAACACTGCATAAAACAACCCTAAAATCATGTTTTTAGGGTTTCAAAAACAACCCTAAAACAATGTTTTAAATGTCTCCAAAACAGTGCTCAAAACAGCCATAAAGTGTTGTTTTTAATCTGTAAAACACTGCATAAAACAACCCTAAAATCATGTTTTTAGGGTTTCAAAAACAACCCTAAAACAATGTTTTAAATGTCTCCAAAACAGTGCTCAAAACAGCCATAAAGTGTTGTTTTTAATCTGTAAAACACTGCATAAAACAACCCTAAAATCATGTTTTTAGGGTTTCAAAAACAACCCTAAAACAATGTTTTAAATGTCTCCAAAACAGTGCTCAAAACAGCCATAAAGTGTTGTTTTTAATCTGTAAAACACTGCATAAAACAACCCTAAAATCATGTTTTTAGGGTTTCAAAAACAACCCTAAAACAATGTTTTAAATGTCTCCAAAACAGTGCTCAAAACAGCCATAAAGTGTTGTTTTTAATCTGTAAAACACTGCATAAAACAACCCTAAAATCATGTTTTTAGGGTTTCAAAAACAACCCTAAAACAATGTTTTAAATGTCTCCAAAACAGTGCTCAAAACAGCCATAAAGTGTTGTTTTTAATCTGTAAAACACTGCATAAAACAACCCTAAAATCATGTTTTTAGGGTTTCAAAAACAACCCTAAAACAATGTTTTAAATGTCTGAGATTTTGAGACAAGTTTTCGCCGAGAGAAGATTTTCGCGATTTTGATAAAAGAAAATGGTTCTCGATCTTGAGAGGAGCAGCCGGAGGAGAAAGATCGGCTGCGGGCTCGGGGTTCCGCGACAGGCGGGCGGCGGGGGAGGAGCAGCCGGAGGAGAAAGATCGGTTGCGGTCTCGTGCTTCCTTGAGAGGAGAGCGGCGTGAGAGGAGAGCGCCGAGCTTTTCACAATTTTGAGCGAAGGAGCAGCCGGAGGAGAAAGATTGGATGCGGTCTCGTGCTTCCGTGAGATCGCGTGAGAAGAGAGCGGCGTGAGAGGTGGAAAAGGGAACGGGGGCAAAAGGGAACGGGGGGTTAGGGCTTCCACTCTTTCATTTCCTTTATATATTATAATATAAAAATAATAATATAATATATTATAATAATTATATACCTTATATTATATAAATATATAATACCTATATTATTAGAGTTTAGATAGTATGTAAATGTATTATTATTAATAATTTATTTTACATTATAATTTACAGGTTTTAAATTTTAATATATATAATTTTTTTTGAGTATATAATTATTTTAAAAATATCATAAATTATATCTATTTATTTATTTATTTAATTTTTTTTATTTCGAACAATAACGATTCGAACACGAACGAACGCATCACTGTTCGTGTTTAGTTCGTTTAGCAAACCGAACGAAAAAAATTGTTTGTGTTCGTCTCGTTTACTTATCTGACGAATCGAACAGGAATGCTCTGACGAATCGAACACGAACTATTTGCGAACAAAGAGGTTTTTGACAGCTGGGAAACATAATTGCCTAAAAACTCCACCAAGATGCGCCGCATCGAAATTTCTTAACGTGATGAGACTTCTCTGCTCTCAGCCAACATGCTTAGGCTCTCGACCGCAGATGGCTTCATGAGCGGTACCTCTTCTCCGATCATGTTCCATTAACGATTTCTCTGAGCTTTTGTTCGCTTTCCTCATTTATTTTCACGAAAATCGACTTTTGTCGTTCATTGCATGTACTCTTCGCTGGGGTTGAAGCAGTGAAGGAAGGAGTCGACGACATGATTAAGTATCTTGCTAACGAGCCTTCTGCGGGTCTCTATTTCGTGCAACAGCACGCCCAAGCATCCATGCCCCGCCTCCTTGATATTAGGGTATGCTTGGTTTCTTTCCCTTTAGTCCGAGCTCATTTTTTATTAATTTGTGGCTCGGTTTATTGCTTTGAATGGGTTATGAATGTTTGTGCTCGATGAATTAGTCTTCAATCGGCTTTTGCGCATGTATTTACGAATATTAGATTTTTGGGGCATGGGTATGTTCATTTTCCCCGACTATTAGGTACAAAGTGCGCATAGTATCTTATGATAATTTTTCATGCCGGGCTCATTGGTTTAATCATTTATTAGTAATTTTGGTGAAGAAATGAGTTTTCACTTGCCTGCCTTGCTTGGCGAGGATTCTGTCGGGTGTTTCTTCATAAATTTAGTTGGGTGGGCAACCTTAACTCGTTTGTAGTCAAGGATATGCGTTGCATCAGACAACTATTGCTTGAGAATTGAGATATGAAAGAGATCGTGTAAACAAATGTTGAAAGCAAATTAGCATGTAAGTAAATAATCCTACTCGCTCATTTATGATGCTAAACAAATATACAAAATCAAACTTAAAATAAAGCAAAACTATAAAGTTGAAGCATGATATAAATTTGATGCAATATTTATATTGATTCTTTTGTGCATTGGCCATACATTGGCTAAATTAGTTAGCGCGTGCTTGTTGTATGAAGGAGTGTTGGGTTCAAAGCTTTAGGTGAGTTAGATGATGTGAAAACATGTTGGAGTAGGTAAGCCCTTGCTGGTGCAAATCTTCTAAAGCAGAGCCGAAGTTTGAATTATTAAGCGAGTGTGCGCTCTCAAATATGTTGGCTTGCTTTTGGAGTGATGAGCAAACCAATGGACAAGTGTGCTCTGTAATTTGATAACAAATGTCTAGTTCAAGGCTACTAAGCTTGCTTCGAGAGCATTGCTTCATAATGAATGTTGTTTCTTATTACATGGTGCAGTGTAATAGATTTTTTGGGATCTTTAATAAATGCTTTTTCAAAATTGAGCTAAAAGCGTGCTCAAGAAGATTCATTACTTGTGAGAGCTATAGGATGAATCACATATTGTTAAAAATTTTGAGAACTTGAAAGGAAGCTCTCAAATGACTTTTTGGTGAAGAGTTCTCCAGTGATGTTCTTGAGTATTCCTCAAGTGGTCCCTTTTAAGACATCTTTGGAAGAGGATTTTTGCTCAGCTTGGATGGTTTGACTCTTGATTATGTGGATGTTGAAGATTGCATCAAATTCATTAGCCATCTTTTGAATGTACAAGTGGATGCATGATATAATTATGTGAGTTACTTGATGAGAAATTCCATAGTTATGATTATTATTTTTATATTAATTATCTAAATCGTTTTACCACCATTTGTGGTGGATTTTCATTCATGGAAACTTATTCTTCTGGTCATGGATCTATACTCTCTTATTCCACATTTCATTTTCTTTTTTTTTTCTATTGTCCACTTCAGCTCCACTAGAAAACCTTAGAAATAAGAAAGAACCCCTTCGAGCCATGCTTTTATCCTTATTAGAAACCCTAGTTTTAATTTTTTTGGGTTTACCTTATAAAAGAAAAATGTATTCCCACTCCATCACCTTTACAACCTTTCGCATATTCCTCTCTATATCATTAATCATTCAACTACACTACCTCTGAGCTACACCTCATCATCCACTTGGCCTAGCCGTTCCACTTTAAAAAACAACTGCTTTTCTATGGGGACCTTTTAGAGAACCTTGAGACATTGTCTTCCCATCACTTCCGTTGATCCAAACCCATCCTAATAATCATGATGTGTCATCCCCTTGTCATCGTTATTAAGATGGCCTATGCATTTCCCCAAAAACTCACTTCCTTAACCACTTGAGAATTTTCAATTCCACCATTAGAAGACCTTATTTCTTTTCCCATCGATAAATACAATTTCATGAGACTATTGCCGTTTGGGCTAATTAATCCATTGAAGCATTCCCAAGTAACTTTTTGTATTGAGCACCAATTTTCATGCATACAAATCCTTTTGTTATACATCTAATGTTAAACATGCATTATGTAGGGATTTCATGTTCATTTCATAAATTAATGGACAATAATGAAGAAGAGAAAAATCATGATTGCAGGAAAATTATATTAATCATTGGGTCATGGTCTCCTTCCTTTGTATAGGCATGAAGGAATGGAGAGCCCCTATCATTCTAGGTCATTACTTATACGTTTGGCCAACATTCTTAAAAATAGTCTCTTTGCCTAAATCTTTGGCAATAATAGTTATTTCACAAGGCTTTTGGGCCTTTTTATGAAGGTAAGTTTGGAGATGGGGTTGATATCAACTAATAATTGCAGATGATCACCCCGATAGGGCTGCTACTAATCCAATATTAGCTGAGTAGGAGCTTGCTTGATCTTGAGTTTGTCAAAATAGAGCTCGAGTTTAGCTTGATTTAAGTATTAGTAATCGTTTTCAAGTTTGATTTGTTTCAAATCATGACTTTCTAAGCTTGGTTTAAGCTTAATTCGCTTGTTGATTAAAGGAACCTTATTGAGCTTATTCATGAGTAATACTATCGATCAACTTATTAATTATTTGAATAAGCTTTATCAAGCCTATTCATGGGCAGCCGATTGAGCTTAAAATTGAGATTTTTATTAAATGAAATATTGAACAACAAACATTTTAATGAGCATAATGGCTTGTGTTCATGAGCAAATGCAATATGATATAGAAAACAAGAAGAATCCATTATATTCATGTATTAATGAAATTTTAATTGAGTCTTAAATGAGTATATTTGTTAGGCTTAACCAATCTTCTTAATGAGCTTGTTTATAAGTTTTAAATGATATTTTTATAATCATAAACCAGTTGTGCACCAAATTGTTGAAATTTGTTCATATATCAATAAAGTTATTATAAAAGTATTCAAGCTAATTCGATTAATTAATTACTTGATCATGAACGAGTTCTAACCGAGCCAAACTACTAGTAGCTTGTTGAGCGTATTGCTTCATTTGTTGCTAGACCTAGTTGATCTTAATATGGTTTTCTCCACATTTTGCATTCTTTCACATGTCAAAGACCTGGGAATATTGTATCAAAAATGATATTAATTTATTATAATTAAATGAAAATATGACATTCAATAGGACCCAATGGAGAAAAATGATTCTTGTTGCTGGCTCCACTTCGTGGGATAAAGTCTTGTTGTTGTTGTTGCTGTTGTCACATGTCAAAATGCTATGGTTCTTTTTTCTCATGTTTGTTTGCTTGTGCAATTTGACATGCTAGGTCGTTAGAATGGCATTGGCAAAACCTAACAATCATTTTTGTCAAAGGTTATCAATTCAATCATGCTTGCATGACTAATTAATTTTTGTTGTATAGCTTTATTCTTGTCAACTAACTATGGTCCTTTCATCCATCATGCTATTGGTTGCTATGGCCTAATCATTCAAGTTTTACTACAGTAAACTAACTACACCTGACCAGTGACCCTTGCTCAATGTTTCTTATCTAGTCGCCACCTAGGATTTTTTTAGCCAAACTCTTGTTTGCTCAACTCTGTCTACTTGGCCCAACAGGCCACTCATATCTGAATAGTTCAGCTTGGCTGTTCAATGCCCTACTCGAGAAATATTAAGATCTAGAATTATGGGCCCTTACAAAAGTGATGTGAAGCAATCAAGTATGAAAGAAATTGTGATGTGTGATGGTCTCTTGATCCATTTTTACTATATCATATTCAAATTATAGGGGTGTGTCCACATACATTACATATTTATTAGCTGAGGTTGATATTTTATTTTGTTTCTTGCAAATGCTCTGTTTTAAATTTACTTGATTACCTCTAAATTTATATATCAACATTTGTTTCTTATGGAATTATAATGTCAAAGATGATTATAAACTCATTCTAATTTATAGGAAAAAAAATGCGGAAACGATTCATGAGGTAACTATTTACATTGAAAATGTTGAAGAATCTGCTGATCTCAACTTTTTCATATGCTAAGCATCTTTCACGTTTGATGCATTCACCATTCTATATTATTATTAGTTATTTTGGTAGCTATATTTTGTTTAATTGCTGCAGTTAACATTTCATTTCGTTTCTTGCAAATGCTGATCAGTTTTTGTGATAAATATGCATGACTTTTTTTTCCCATTACCTCCAAGTTATATATCAAAAAATGTTTTTTAAAAATATTAGCATATCATGGCTGAGTGAAAATTCATTCTAAGTTATAGGACAAAGTTTTGGAAAGGATTCATGAGGTGAACCTTCACACTGAAGATATTGAAGATTCAATTGATGCAGTACGGTCAATGACAGAAATTGGCTATCCACTTGCTGAGGAGATGATTAAAGACATCAAAACATCTCTACTCATTATTTCAAAATGCCAAAGAAAAAAGGGGTGAGTTTTTTCTATACATCATTATTTGTCTATTCAAACACTGGTAAAAAGGAAAAAGATGACAAAATATTGAAATTATCTTTTAAAGATTTGCTTGAGTTTTCAACCATTGATTTAATGGCTCTGCAGAAGATCTTTAAATTGTTTTGAATCACGTTTGTTTTGCTGACTGTGGTAGTATAATGTTCACCATATTATGAATGACCAAATTTGGAAGTGATGCCTTTAAGTGGACAGGATAAGTCAGGGTTGCAGAATATTCATAGCTTTGCTCTGTTTAGACTACCAATTCTTGGTCGGGTTGCTGAACATTCATTGCTTTATTTCCAAAGTCTAGTTTATGATTTCATTCTTTAAGCACTTTGCTCAGACTACCATTGATATTTTTGTTATCCACAGTTGCCTTTATGGTTATTCTAGAACTTTTAATTTGAATTGAAAATATTTTTGTTTGAAAGGGATTTCTCAATGAGGCCTGAAATCTCTGGTTTTGCTGGTACTTTTCACGGTGACATTATAGGAAATAATAATTATTATGTGGCTGGATGAGGTTTGGTTTATAGAACAATATGCAGTTTAGGAGCCATTGGTTCCACAAGAAACCTTTTATATCCATTTATGTAATAACTCACTGCATTTTTTTTTGCATAGAATTTTAGCAAGTTCGTCTCTTGAATTTTTTTCTTATCTAGATAATTGTCAAACTTATAGAGAAGAAAAAATGTAATATTTTGTGTGGTATTAGTTTGGAAAACTTATGATGTCAGTTTTACGGAATTGCTAATATGAGTCAAAAGTATTGAATTGCCGGTCATTTAGATTTATGAAATTTTTTATTAATAAGAGGCCAAGTGCTTTTTTTTTTTTTTTTTTGCTTTTTTATTAGCTTTTTTAATTGCTCGTTCGATTAACCAAGTTTAGTCTAGCACTTGTCATGCTCAATCATAAGAAAGTCTGAAGAAGCCAAATTTGAATATATATGTTTCGGCTTGGCTCGAGTTTGAGTTGAATATGAACTTTTAGTATGACCAAACAAACCCAATTTATAATGCGCTCAGCTTAGCTTGTCTCAATTACATGTCTAATAATATTCTCTCAAATGGTTAATTTAAAAGAAATTACTTTATCATGAACCTATTTATCTCAACAATTTTATTTTAGCTTATTCTGCACAATAATTGTACTCAAATCCTATTATCATGCTACACCCATTTTTGTTATTCACCTGGAACATGAACATATTCTTGGTAGCAGTACATCAAACATTATCGCAATTGGTATGCTATAGTCATGAAAGCTTACAAATTCAGATTAAGGGCTCGTTTGGGGCAGCTTATTGGGGTGCGGTGGCGGTATGAAAACGTCGTAGAGATGTTTGAAAAATAAGTTCGGCGTAGATTATTGATGCCGCTCGGACGCACTTACAAGATTTTTTTAATAGAAGGCAAAGCGGGGAAGAAATTGCGTCCTGCGTCTGCTTCCCGCGTTAGCGTGAAAAATTCCTCTGGTGCCCCCTCGCCCTCGCTGTTTCCTTTGTCTCTTGGGCACGGGGTGGCCCTCTAACCAAGCGAAGAGGAAGTTTTGGTTTCCTGAATGGCTTAAATAGGCTTACCTTCTTCGATGCTCGATGGTTTCTGTTTTCTGGTAGGAGCGGATCAGAAGAATGAGAGAGACGGTAGTTTCGGTAGTCACTGTAAACCGCGATCCCGTCGTTGCCTTCCCAACTCTCTCTAATGACGACTGTATGCGAAGGTTCATTCACGAAGGCGATCGTTTTGAGCGAAACCGGGAGAGGGAGTGACATAAGCGAGGGTTTGGGGCAGAGATGGGAAGTTTTGAGAAAATAACTTTATATATCATAATCAATTATATCATAATTTTAAGAATCTATAATTAATTATATCAAAATTTTAATTATAATTAATTTGTATATCATCAATTTAATTATAATAGATAAATTTGTATGTAACTATTTAATATTTGATTAATGAATAAAAATATATCAAAATTTTAAGTTATTTAATAAATTTCTAAGAAATTCTTTATTTATGCAATTAATAATTAATTAATCAAAATTTATTAGCTAATAAGTTAATAGTTTATAAAAAAATTAAATGATTACATACAGTTTTGTTACAAATAGTTTCACCAAACAGGGGCATAATGGTCATTTATCTAATATCATCTATCAATGAACTATTCTAAATAAGCTTCCCCAAACAACAAGTTAGCTTATTCTGATAATCTTTAGATTATCAGATTATCAGAATAATCTGCTTATCAGCAGATTATAAATAATCAACAGCTGTGCCATTATGCAGAGTTTAAGGGTGTGTTTGGGAAGGACGTTTTGAGAATGGCCACTGATTGTTTGGAAAACGCGTTCTGAAAACGTCGTTCGCAGGCGCGTTTGGGGCATCTTTTGCTTATCCAAATAAGCAGTTTATCAAAAAATACGGACCGCGGGATTCGACCCGCGTACCGCTTTCAGTGTAAAAAACGAACTGTGTTTTTGAATAAACTGCTCAAACGCAGTTTTCAAATGGTGAGGCGACGTTTTCAAAACGCCGCCGCAATGGATAAGCTGCCCCAAACGGAGCCTTCCTGAAATCATGTTTAGAATGATTGCTGTGAACTACTAAATTTTTTGAGAATAATTTATATATCAAACATTAAAATTGGTCAAAATCTAAAATTATCTAACGACGAGAGACAGCATGCTTACTTTTTTATCAATTAGGTCATCGGTTTTTAAATAAAGTATAAATTAATCTTTAGCAAGCCCTTTTTGTGGTCTAAAACAGGTTACTGATTCAAGGTTATTCAACACAAACTGAAATAAGCATTTAATATGAATTTCAAGTAGGATAATAGCTCAAGGTGCGTGATTTATAAGAACTATAGAAAAACATTACAAGTTAATTCCATATCTAGTTGTACGTCTTTAGTAAATTGAGGAATGGAAAAATATCTTGATTTCTTACTCATGCCAAATGATGCCATGCATAATAAATAACATAATGATAATAATCTTTAATACTATGCAAATTTTTACAACATATTCTTTAATTAAGAAGTTAATTGGGAAAACTTGCATAGGAAGAATAAAAAATAAGGTTAAGGAGCAGTATCATATGTTTCTCATTTAATGAGGATTAAAATAGCTAGATCTAGAATTTTACTCGAAATAGAAAATTCTTAAGTTTGAAGCAAATTATGATGCTTTATGCCATTTAGCATATATTGTAAATCATATTTGTGACAAAGTAAAGTCGAAGTAAAATAATGCTATTAGATTGGTTTATGTTAAGAAGGCTCTACACTGAGGTCCTATCAAGTCCTTTGTCTATTAAAAATTTCTAGGATAGTCTTAAGGCGATTAACTTGTCACAAATAAGTCCTTTAATGTATAATAAGTCCAGCTTCAAGGAATAATTTTTTGTATTGATTGGGCGAAAGGATATTAGTGTTGAAAAAAAAAGAAGGGTTCTAGAGGTAATTAAGCGACTAGTGTTGTGCATCTAGACTTCAAGATTTGAGCAAAGAACATTGATCTGGTTCAACATCTAGAGATTTACTGTTTAGTGATTGCTTGCATTATATTTAGGCTTGAATTATTTGATTCAAACCCATTATATTTTCAAATTTCGTCACTGAACCAATTTTAGTATTTTTTTCTACAAGAACTTAGCATTAAACTTTGAGATGGATCTATAACCTAAGGGCTAAATTGGTATTGGGTCTACAATAGAAGCAAAAGAGAATAAAGATAGAAAAGAGCTATAGCATCCTTCCGTTTTATTTCTGCATAATCTCTCTATTCTTATTAAGCATAATAGTTTCACATTCGTGCTTTTGGGTATATAGATGAACAATAATTTGAACGGCTTAGTTAATGTTTTACATTGAATTTATAAATATTATCTCAAAACTTGATTTTAGTACCCATGGTTATCTAGCCCTAACATCTTAAGTGAATATATTGGAAGATGCTTTGCTCCATTATGAATAGGATGAGGTGATGATTTGAAATTTATGTGTTGGTGGTGGAAATAATGCGTGCGCCCGCGGACACACACACACACTTTTGTATTAAATATAATGATATTGTCAACGATCTGTGTGTCTGTTAAAGCCAGGTTGGTTGACAAATGATACTTGAAATGGACTAAGGGACTCGTTTGATATTTGGTTGTGTAGAATGGGTTCAGGTTGTTTGACAATGCATGAGATAGAATATGGACTTGTGGAAAGGTTGTAAACAAAAAAATAGCATTATATAGAAATTATATAAAAGTTTTACTTGTGATAGATTTGATATCACAAGAAACACTTAGTTGGAATGAATGTAGATTGAGGATTTATGAAAAGGATCCCAAATAGTAGGGGCAAGGCAACAAAATGACTTTTGTTCTTCAAAGTTCTTAGCTTGATTTATTTTAGGGAAGAACTCTAATTTTAATGAGAAAGTTTTTTTTTTTCGATTTTGTTCAATTGCTATTTGTTTGTGTTTCAATATGTATTTAATTTGGTTTAGATGACTTTTTTTTATTTTCTATAGTATACACCCAATTTAATTGCAAATGTCAAGTGTGTACTTGAACACAATCCATTAAAACTCATAGTAAATCTATTGAAGGTTGGAGTTGTTAAATATGGTTGGAATTGTCAGTTTCAAAGCCATAACCATAGGTTTAGCAATGTTCAATTGAACTCTGTTGAAAATTTCCAAAGTTTTACGCGTAAGATTATGAAAGCATTCGGAAGACTCAATCCCTGGTTTACTCTTTCAATTTTATAATTTTTTTTCCAGATGACTTATAACTTATTTGAAAAAACTGCCAAAAAATGATTTGACTATTCATATATGGCTATATTAGTCCTAGAGCTTATAAAAGTGTCAAATTTATCCCCTAACTCTTTTAATGAGAGCTGAAATCTTTGAAAAAAAATGAGTATATTTCAACAAATATTAAAAGTCTGAGATTAATTTTACACAT